TTCCCTCTCCGGCCCAAGACCATCAGCTGCATCCCGCGCTCTGAGTCCGTCGCGCAGTTTCGCGGCGATAGGCTCTGCGAGAAAGTCTAGCAGGTCGAGTTGCGATTCTTGTACGAAACGCTGCGCCAGGGCTTTCATTGTGCGCTTTTGGAGATAGACGGGGTTCAGGAACTCGGAGAGGAAGGAGATGGCCGTTTTGGAGAGGGGTGCGTCCGGAAGAGGCGGGCTTTCAGTTTCCGGGTACGAAGCGAAGACTGTTGACGACGATGCCTAGGACATATGAGACGCGGGACAGAGGGCATAATGCGGCTGAACTCACGAGCTGCTCACGCGAGCTCTTTCGCTCCTCCTCAGTCTCCTGCTCATATCCTTCCTCGCCCTCCTGGGCCTTGTGAAACCACCCACTGATGCTCAATCTCTGCTTCCCATCCTCTTCCCGTACCACAACCTCCTCCACCGAATGAAAGCTGTACCCCGGCTGAATCTCGAAGAAGATGAATTGATTCCAGCTAGGAGGGATGACCTTGCTCGGTTGCGTCTCAGGCTCGAGTCCTCCGCCTTCCGCCTCTTTAACAGGGTAAAGCTCCAGCGCTCCTCCCCACTCAGGCTTCCAGTCCCGCGGTAGAGGCATGTATAAGATATACGATACCCGTCGAGTACCGATGACGTCGTCATGGTTGAGTAGGTGACACCGATCTCGGTAAGAGTTGATGCTCATATCTTGCTTGCTGCCTGAGAGGGGCCCACAACCGGTGACCGTGCGGACGAATTGGCGGAATGCGGGCGAGTAAAGTGCGTCGCGCAGTTTGAGCAGGTTGGGGAATAGCGCGACTTGTTCAGGTGACAAGTAGTTGAGGGATGCTAGATCGCCAGTTTGGTGGACCTACACATGGATTAGTTGAAGGGGAACTTATGAGGAAGTCAAGGAAACGAACACGGTAGATATCAGTCTCCTTGACCGTAAAAGCAATCTCGTTCAGGATCTCGTCCTTGACCTTCTCGAGTAGGTCATCCTGAACAAGAGTCTCAACAACAGCATGCTTGTACGGGCCGCTCTCATCGTAGGCAGCATTGAGCTTCTGAGCGGTCGCTGGTTGGAGAATGTCCGGGGCAAATAATGGCGCGGGATCTGCCACGACAGCCGCGTCGGCATGGGGGCCGATTTTAAGTCGCTTTAACAGCGAAGGATCGCCTTCGGGTGAATGGGGGCGAGCGTTGGCCTTCTTAGCCATGGCAGTGCGTAGGGTTCAGTTAAGAGGATGGTAGATGCAGGCAACCTCGGTACATTCGATCTTTCAAGCTCAAGCAAAGTTTACAAACACTGCGGAGTACACGGGAGTGGAAGGTAGAGCCGAGAACGCGTAGAACCACGAGCTAGATGCAAGAACCAACGTCGACGTCGCTCTCGACCGCCGCCACACGAGTTTCGAGAGCGAAGCGTCGAATTTCTATTTTGATGGCACCACGCCGGTCACGTCAGTTCGACTTCTCGTAATCTCTTTCCTGTCATCTCATCTGCGTAGCGGTAGTTAGTCCGTCTATCTATATACAACGAAAACAAAAAGCTCGACAGTGATTATTGACGGTAAGGGAGAGTGGATATCACGATGTATACGTAGTGTACAGCCAGAAATACACCTGGAAAGGAAAATCCCAGCAAACAAATGCGACGGTTGCATAGGAAAGCAAACAGGACAAGCTAGATCGGCGGTGACCGCACGCCGCTAATAGCAAGCAGTCACTACTTCTC